AAATCTTCAATCAAGTCTGGCAAACTCGCCAGTTTCCGCACATCTGGTCTCAAGCGACTATATTACCTTTCGTAAAACCGCAAAAGCCCAAAAGTGATGTCAACTCCTACCGGCCTATATCATTGACTAGTAGCACTTGTAAATTGCTTGAAAAAATTGTGAATCGTCGCCTCCGTTGGTATCTCGAAAAAGAGGGACTCCTACATCCATGCCAGAGCGGTTTTCGACAATACCGATCCACAATGGACAGCATCGCTCATCTAGAGTCCGAAATATCCACAGCATTCACAAACAAGCAGAAAGTGTTGGCAATTTTCTTCGACATCGAGAAAGCGTACGACATGACCTGGAGGGATAACATCCTTAGAAGCCTAGTCAACCTTGGATTTACGGGCAATATTGCTCACTATGTCAATAACTTCCTTCAAGACCGCAGTTTCACTGTTCGCATTAACAACACCGTCTCTTCTGTCAAGATGCTTCAAAATGGAATACCACAAGGCTCTGTTATCAGTGTCACGCTTTTCCTGTTAACCATCAATAATATCTTTCAAAAAATTTCACCACCAATTAAAGCCCACCTCTTCGCCGATGATCTAGTGATATTCACTAAAGGGAAAGACCTAGCGTCGATGCGTAACCTGCTGCAGAGCTCCCTACAAGATCTAGAAGACTGGTCAGCAACGACAGGCCTCAGATTTTCCACCACTAAATCCAAATGTATGTTGTTCACTAAACGACAAGTTCAAGAAAAACCAACTCTAAAACTGGGAAATGTCAACTTAGAGTATCTAGAAGAAAATAAATTCTTAGGCTTAATTTTTGACCAACATTTGACTTGGAAGCCACACCTTAATTTTCTCAAACGAACCTGTTCCAAACTGCTTGACCTCTTAAAGGTCTTAGCCCATCACAACTGGGGAGCTGATACCGTGACACTTCTCCAAGTTTACAAAATGATAATAAGATCAAGGATCGACTATGGTGCAGTTGTGTACTCCACCTGCAAAAAATCGTACCTTAGCCCTATTTGTACGATTCAGAACACTGCTCTTAGACTTGCGTTCGGCGCATTTCGAACGTCACCGGTTTCTAGCTTACATTGCTTAGCAAATGAATTCCCTCTCATTGATCGTTTCCATTATCTTCGCCTCAGTTATGTGGTCCACATCGCTAGAAACCCGAACAATCCTCTTAGACGACCAATCTTGGAACCACCAATTGACTCAGCCCTTCAAAATCCTTTCAACAAAAGACTACGTAGTGATCCTCAACAGCTCGACCTACCCAACCTTCCTCAGACACTTTCTCAAACCTTTACTTCGAATCCTCCATGGGTCAATTCTCCACTGCCAGTCAATATCTCTATGTCTATCTACAAAACAGACACCACACCACCTTCCGTCATTCAGGCAGAGTATCGAGCTTTAACATCACAATTCCCGAACCACACACATCTCTTCACGGACGCATCTAAATCATCACAGGGAGTCGGCGCTGCGGTGAAGACCCCAACCGACGTCCTCCAATTTTCACTTCCAACTTATAGCAGCGTGTTGACTGGGGAATTATACGCTATCCTGGAAGCCCTTAACCACATCGTCAACCTCCCAGGATTCCACTTCGTGCTCTTCACGGATTCCATGAGCGCACTGCAAGCCTTCAAGGCGTTGTTTCCAGTCAATCCACTCGTAGTTCGTATCCAAGAACAGTTTCAACAACTTCGACTTCAGGGCAAAGAAATTCTCTTCTGCTATATACCATCACATATGGGCATAACAGGCAATGAAATGGCAGACACCCTAGCTAAGGAAGCGATCCTTTCAGTCAATTCGAAACCTCTTATAGCTGTCCCATCTACGGATATTAAGAGTCTCTTTCGAACTCGCATTGTAGCATCCTGGCAACGCAAATGGGACACGCATCCCTCCCATCTACGCAAAATCCAGCCCAGCGTCACCACACGGTTGCCTCTACCTAGTACTCGCCAGGGCCAAGTCTTAATCTCCCGACTCCGGCTTGGGCATTCCAGATTGACTCATGCTTATCTGTTCTCACTCGATAAGGTCCCACCTCAGTGTACGAAGTGCAAGTCAGTACTAACAGTGGAACACATTCTACTCCACTGTACAACATTTCAACAGAACCGCATCCGCTGGTCACTGCCACCATCCCTTACCGAAGTTCTGGGTGATCTCCCAGCTGTGGAAAAGCTATTGCAGTTCCTCACAACATCCGGCCTTCTGCAGTTAATCTAAGGATTGCAAATTGTATTATACATCTTGAATTGTACCGCCTTGTCACTAATAACCCTTCGTGGTTGATGTGACAATAAACATTTACATAAAAAAAAAAAAAAAAAAAAAACTTTTGGAATTTTACGTTTTTGAGATTTTTCGATGATATCCTAAATTTTCAATGAATTGAAAATCATAGATTTGTTTTCGATTTCTTCGTTTATCCGTGTTTCGATATTTTATTTTTCAATTTTTTGAATTTTTATATTTTAGATTTTTCGGTTTTTTCATGTAGATTTTTATACTTCTCAGTTTTAAATTTTTGGATTTTTCAATTTTGGGATTTTCTTTTTTTTTCTGGATTTATGGAGATTTTGATGTTTCGATTTTTCAATTTTTTAATCGATTTTTTTTATTCTAAATCTTTCATTTTTTAACTATTAAATTTTAGGCTATTCATTTTTTCGACATCCTGACTTTTCGATTTTTCGACTTCTCGATCTTTTGATAATTCGTTTCTCAATGTTTCAGTTTTTCGATTTTCTAAATTGTGGATTTTTGGGTTTCTTGGTGTTTCCTTTTTTCAATTTTTCGATTTTTAAATGTTTTTTTTTTCAATATTTCAATTTTTTAATGTTTCGTTGTCTCGATTTTTCAATTTTGCGATTCTCCAGTTTTCTGAAATTTTAATTTTCAATCTCAGTTTTAGACGTTTCAAAAGTTTCGTTTTCCCGATTTTTCAGTTTTTCGATTGTTCAAATTTTCGATTTCTCCAATTTTCTGGTTTTTAAATTTTTCCATTCTTCAGCTTATAGGTTTTTGTATTTTTTAATTTTTCGAATTTTCAACTTTTGGAATTTTACGATTTTTGAGATTTTTCGATGATATCCTAATTTTTCAATCAATGTAAAATTATAGATTTCTTTTCGATTTCTTAATTTTTCCGTTCTTCGATATTCTATTTTTCAATTTTTCGAATTTTTAAATTATAGATTTTTCGGTTTTTTCATGTGAATTTTTATACTTCTCAGTTTTAAATTTTTGGATTTTTCAATTTTTCGATTCATCGATTTTTTTTTATTCTAAATTTTTGATTTTTAACTATTCAATTTTGGGGTATTTCTACTCCCGAGTTTTTCAATTTTTCGACTTCCCGACTTTTCGATTTTTCGATTTCCCGATCTTTGATAATTCGTTTCTCAATGTTGCAGTTTTTCGATTTTCTAAATTGTGGATTTTTGGGTTTCTTCGTTTTTTGTTTTTTAACTTTCTCGATTTTTCAATGTTTTTTTTCAATTTTTCAATGTCTCGTCTCGATTTTTCAATTTTTCGATTCTCCAATTTTTTTGAAATCCTAATTTTTTAATTTAAGATTCGTCAATTTCTCCATTTTTCACTTCTTCGTTATTCCTACTTTTCAATTTCTTGAATTTTTAAATTTTTGAATGTTCAGTTTATTGATTCTACATTTTCTTCATTTTTAAATTTTACATTTGTCGATTTTTCAATTCTTTGATTTCAAAATTTTTTGATTCGATTTCTTGACATCTCGGTTTTTCAATTTTGAAAATTTCTTGATTATTACTGGATTTTTTGATTAATCGATTTTTTAAGTTTTCGATTTCTCAAATTTTCGACATTTCAGTTTTGGGAATTATTCAGTTTTTCACTAATTCCACTGCGCTTTCTGTCATTGTTTTGAATATCTGGAAATGTCTTTGTTTGATTTGAGGAACAAGTCGAAATATACTTACTTATATTTAGTTTTTTTTTCAACAACACGATACTTAAAACATAATTCTAATCTCAAATTCACCCTTTGATATTTTAACTATTTTACTGTTGAAAGATGACTAGTATATTACGAAAAAAAAAGTAAGCATTAGCCCCACCCACCCGCCCCATCTCACTTGTGATTATTTTTTTTTATTTGTCGTGAGATGAGGGGCGGAGCTTAAATGCAGAGTTCATATTTCTCTACAAGAAATGACCATGTGAAATGTGTTTTAGGTACCGTGTTGTTGAAAGAAAACTACACATACTAAGAAAAAAAATAACCCCGCCCACCCACCCGATCTCAATTGTGACGAATTTTTTATTGGGTATGAGATCGAGGGGCGGAGCTTAAATGCAAAATCCATATGTTAGAGTCATGATCGTATTGCAGAAAATACTATTATGAGAAAAAGATTGGGAATGATTATTCTTAATCTCTCAAAAACAGAAGGAAATAGAGAGAAAAAGAACAAAAAAAAATGCCTAGTCAACACAATATAAATAAACGCTCTGAAGTAAGTCATTAAATTCGATAAAAATAAGATTTATAGCAAAAATTTGATAGTTTTCTTGGTATTTTCGGATCTGACCTGACTTTGATCTAACTTAACCTGCCCGGACCCAACTTGACCGCACCTGACCTCACGTGCACTTGTCTGCCCTGACCTGACGTGATATAAACTGGCATAACCTGATCTGACTTGACCTGACTTCATTTATCTTAATATAGCCTGACCTGACTTGCTCTGACTGGCCTGACCTGACTTAAGGTAATCTGACTTGACCTGACTTAATTCGAGTGAATCCTGATCTGACTGACTCGACTTGATCTGACCTGACTTCATTTAACCTAATATAGCCCGACCTGACCTGAACTGACTTAACCTGATCTGACTTGTGGTAATCTGACTTGACTTGATTTAATTTTCGATTTTGATCGCTTTTGTTCGCAAAAACCGCAACTCTCGTTTTTGGACCCTCACTCACCTGAGATAGTCCCTCTTGCACAAGATGAGGTTGGCCTTCGTATAGAGCGTGGATCCCACCTCCCCCAGGCGGCAGTCGCAGCAGCCGCACTTGAGACAGTCCTCGTGCCAGTACAGGTCGAGGGCCTTGAGGAGGAACCTTTCCGTGATCCTCTTGCCGCAGCCGGCGCACTCCCGCACGCCGCCGCCCCCGGCGCTGTTGGCGGCCGTCGAAACCGACACCGGCGTTGGGCCCGCCACCGCCACCGACGCTCTACCGTTGGCCGCTTGCTCCCCACCGGACTCTGCAACAAACAGGGGCCACCTTTACAAAATACCTATAAATATGCGTTAGGCCGCGCTAAATCAAACATGGACAAATGGTAACGAATGGGCCGGAGGTGATAGGAGCGGCTGGCGGGATAATTCCTGGGAGACAAGGTGAGCTCTTTATTTCAGTTATCCGCTTGTTAGGGTGTCACCGAGCGCCCGCTTGCAAAGTGCCGCTAATGGCTGCTGACAAATGGCCCTTGCGAGAGTACGGAGTCTACGAATCGGATTCGAACGGGCGAAACACGAAAACGTAATTTGGCAACCGCCGACTGGAAGCGAACGGGGTTTTTGCGAAATTCGTGAAATATTGGGGGTGGGGAAGTGGAGGAGGCTTTCCAGTCAGGTTAATTTAGAGGCTGCGAAAGTGGCGCAGTCGGTGAGATAATAATCGTAATTCGGAAATAAACATCAGCGACTAGTAGTTTTGTGTTTTTTCAACTGTGAGAACACAAGTCGCCATTTTGCGTCTAAGTTCCGACGGGTGGTGGTTTCGTTCCTCGCTCGAGTCTTTAAATTATGTAGATTCGGAGAAACGAAAGTGTGGAGGAAAACTGCGCCGCCACCTACCTGGTTAAATGGCAATTTCCCGTCTGCCTTTAGAAAATCGCCGTAAATCAATCGCCCGAATCAGCGTTAATGAGGTGTGGGTTTTAGTTCGGCAGTCGGTGATGTTTACTCGTCGAGACGCAAATTGATAAACAGGAGTATCTGAGTGGAAGCGCAGATCACAATATGAGATTATTCCGCCTGGCGAATTACAATCGCCGATTTAATTAAACTAGTGTGTACCTACGCAGCAGTGTAATTGGCAAACGCCGCCACCTCACTCCAAAGAGATGACTTACATAGGAATGATGGAGCCGGCGATAATTATTTTGCAGTCGTGTGAAGGCATTTTAATCAGGGCGAAACACCTGACAAAAATCGAGACGTATTGTGTATCATCAACGCACAGGGACCCTAGTTTTAATTTTTGACAGTAGCGCTTTTTTACTTCCCAAAAGGTCTGTCGTTTCCGTCTTAGGAATATCGTGTGGATGGTAAAACGCTAACCAAAATTTGGATCATCCCTAGCGACGATGATATAACTAAAATAACATACACCTCTACTTGTAGTTTATGAATCCGTTTTGAGCTTTTATTCTAGGTATCAAGATCAAAAAAGAACGGTTGAAAGTGATTTCGACTAAACTTTCCTCGCTTCTGAATTACAGGATAATTGGGACCCCTGAGAAGGTTTCACATTCTTAAAAAAAAGACACTTGGGGCCCTCGAGAAGGTTTTATCTTTTTAAAAAAAAATAGTTGGGCCCCGAGAACGTTTCGCCATCTTTAAAAACGGACAGTTGGGACCCCTGAGAAGGTTTCACATTCTTCTTAGCCCCTCCGAGAAGGTTTTACCTTTTTAAAAAAAGACACTTGGGATCCCGAGAAGGTTTCGCCTTCTTTAAAAAAGGACAATTGGGACCCTTAGAAGATTTCAGATTAAAAAAATATTTGGGCCTCCCGAGAAGGTTTCATATTCTTAAAAACATACATTTGGCGCCCCCGAGAAGGTTTTGCATTTTTAAAAGAGACAGTTGGAACCCCCGAGAAGGTTTTACATTTTTAATAAAGACAGTTGGGACCCCCGAGAAGGTTTTTATATTAAAAAAAAAAAACCGTTGGGACCCCAAGAAGGTTTCACATTATAAAAAATAACATTTGGTGCCTCCGAGGAGGTTTACATTAAAAAAAAAAAAATTGGGACTCCCGAGAAGGTTTCACATTAAAAAAAAAACATTTGGCGCCCCCGAGAAGGTTTTACATTTTTAATACAGATAGTTGGAACCCCCGAGAAAGTTTTATATTTAAAAAAAATTGAAATATGGAGAATTCGAAACTTCAAAAGATCGAAAAATTGAAAAGTCGAAGAGTCGAAAAATTGAAAAATCGGGCAATCGAAGAAAGCGAAATGGCCGAAAATCGAAAAATTAAAGATAAAATTGAAGAAATTAAATTTAAAAAAAACGAAAAATCAAAAATTGAAAAACCGAAAAATGGAAACAACGAAACTTGGATAAATGGAGGAATCGAAAAATTGCTATAATTGAAAAATATAAAAACTGTAAAGGCGAAAAATCAAAAAAGGAGAAATCGAGACATCGAAAAATCTGAATTTTAAAAAATCAAAACATTTAAAATATGAGAAAACTAAACAACCGAATAATTGAAAAATTGATCAAGCGACAAATCGAAAATTTTAAAAATCTAAAAATAAATCTAGGAAAAGTTACAGAATCGAAGAATTAAAAAATCCCAAAACTGAAACATCGAAAAATTTAAAAATGGAGAAATCGAAGTCGAAAAATCGAAAAATTGGATTGAAATTTCGAAAATCGAAAAACCCAGAAGTCGGGAAGTCCAGAAGCCAAAACACTGAAAAATTTAGAAATCGGGAAATGGGAAAATCAAAATATCGAAAATCTAAAAGGCGAAAAGTCGAGAACTCGAAAAACCGAGAAATCTAAATAGCGAAAATTTAGGAACGCCAAAATATTGAAAAATCAAAAAATTTAAAAATCGAAAAATTGAACAATCGAAAAATTGAGAAACCCAAAAGTCAAATACCAAAAAATTTGATTAATTCAAAAATTGAAAATAAAGGAACTGAAAAATTGAAAAATCGAGAATTGAAGAATCGAAAAATTGACATATTCAAAATTCGAAACTTCACAAGATCGAGAAATCGAAAAGTCGAAAAATTGAAAAAATTAAACTTAAAAAAATGGAAAAATCAAAAAGCTGAAAAACAGAAAAATGAAAACATCGAAACTTGGATAAATCGAGAAAAGGAAAAATCGAAAAATCTGAATTTTGAAAAATCAAAATATTAAAAATCAAAAAACTTGACCGAAAAATTGAAAAATTGATTAAGCGACAAATCGAAAAATTTAAAAATTCCAAAATGAACTATCGAAAAACAGAGATATCGAAAAATCGAAAAATAGAGAAATCGAAATCGAAAAATCGAAAAACAGAGATATCGAAAAATCGAAAAATAGAGAAATCGAAATCGAAAAATCGAAAAATTGGATTGATTTCGAAAATCAACAAACCCAGAAATCGGGAAGTCGAGAAACCGAAACATTGAAAAATTTAGAAATCGAGAAATGAGAAAATCAAAATATCAAAAAATCTAAAAGGCGAAAAGTCAAGAATTCGAAAAACCGAAAATTTAGGAACACCAAAATATTGAAAAATAAAAAAAATTAAAAATCGAATAACTGAAGAATCGAAAAATTGAGAAATCCAAAAATGAAAAATTTGATCAATTCAAATTGAAAATAAAGGAACTGAAAAATTAAAAAATCGAGAATTGAAAAACCGAGAAATGGAGACATCGAAACCTGCATAAATCGAGAAATCGAAAAATTGATAAACTGAAAAATATAAAAATTGTAAAGCCGAAAAACTGAAAAATCGAAAAATGTAAAATTTAAAAAAAGAAAAATTGAAAAATCAGAAAAAGAGAAACCGAGACATCGAAAAATCTGAATTTTAAAAAATCAGAACATTTAAAATATCAGAAAACTGAAAAGTCAAAAAAGGAGAAATCGAGACATCGAAAATCTGAATTTTAAAAATCAAAAGTTTAAAATATCAATAAACTTAACCGAAAAATCGAAAAATTGATCAAGCGACTAATCGAAAATTTTAAAAATCTAAAAATAGTTCTAAGAAAAATTACAGAATCAAAAAATTAAAAAATCCCAAAACTGACACATTGAAAAACAGAGATATCGAAAAATTGAAAAATGGAGAAATCGAAGTCGAAAAATCGAAAAATTGGATTGAAATTTCGGAAATCGAAAAACCCAGAAATCGGGAAGCTAAGAAACCCGAAACATTGAAAAATTTAGAAATCGAGAAATGGGAAAATCAATATATCGAAAAATCTAAAAAGCGGAAAGTCGAGAACTCGAAAGACCGAGAAATCTAAGCATCAAATATTTGAGAACACAAAAATACTGAAAAATAAAAAAATTTAAAAATCAAAAAATTGAGAAACCCAAGAGTCAGATACCAAAAAATTTGATTAACTCAAAAATTGAAAATAAAGGAACTGAAAAATTGAAAAATCGAGAATTGAAGAATCGAAAAATTGAAAAATCGGACAATCGAAGAAGACGAAATGGCCGAAAACCGAAAAATTAAAACTTGAAAAATTCAAAAAATGAAATTTAAAAAAAAAACGAAAAAACAAAAAATTGAAAAACCTAAAAATGGAAACATCGAAACCTGGATAAATCGAGAAATCGAAAAATTGATGAATTGAAAAATCAAAAAAGGAGAAATCGAAAAATCTGAATTTTGAAAAATCAAAATATTAAAATATTAGAAAACAACTGAAAAATCGAAAATTGATCAAGCGACGAACCGAAAATTTGAAAAATCTAAACATAAATCTAGGAAAAAATTACAGAATCGAAAAATTTAAAAATCCCAAAACTGAAACAATGAAAAAAGAGAAAAACTGAAAAATGGAGAAATCGAAAGACCCAGTAATCGGGAAGTCGAGAAACCGAATCATTGAAAAATTTAGAAGTCGAGAAATGGGAAAATCAAAATATCGGAAAATTTAAAAGGCGAAAAGTAGAGAACTCGAAAAACAGAGAAATCTAAGGATCGAAAATTTAGGAAAGCCAAAATATTGAAAATTCAAAAAATTTAAAAATCGAAAAATTGAAGAATCGAAAAATTGAGAAACCCAAAAGTCAAATAAATACCAAAAAATTTTATTAATTCAAAAATTGAAAATAAAGGAACTCAAAAATTGAAAAATCGAAAATTGAACAATCGAAAAATTGAAATATCCAGAATTCGAAACAACACAAGATCGAGAAATCGAAAAGTCGAAAAATTGAAAAATCAGACAAGCGAAGACAACGAAATGGCCGAAAGTCGAAAAATTAAATTTTGAAAAATTTAAA